TTTATTAACTACAATACCTCAAAACGACCTATTTACTGCACTACTTCGAGCCCTCTTCGAAATTCCTATACCGTAGTGTACCAATTTGCTTGGAGATAGAATATGTGCTTAATCAGATGAATCGCACCTTAGAATGTTCGTCAAATGTATCAAAGTGTTCCTTCATCCAAAATCAGTTCTCTTCGTATTTTGAGTATGTAATGAGAGACTGAAGTTGAACAATGAATAACCGATCTGGTCAACGAGGTCCGCATAGCGAATGTTGCGACGGAAACTTTGACTCATTAAATCCGTCAACCACACTTCATTAAACATTTAACGAAGCGCTTCTCACAGATTGACTTTTGCAATCACTTCAGTCACTCTTTTATATGAGTTCATCATGCACATTTTGAGGAATTCGAAAGAAAGTGTTCGCGAATATGCAAAACGTTTGGTTGTGGAGCAATATCTGTTCATAAAACCCGTGCAGGTGTTTACTATTGCGGTGCAGTCGTTCAATTCCACGGTACAACACACGATTTGCATGCGCAATGTTATTATCACTAAAATCCAGTTGATCTCTTTTGTTTTCTTCAGTTGTTCCGTTATTTGTATATTCGAGTTCAATATTTTGTCAATATTATTGTAATAAATAGCTTTTATTTGTTCATTTTACATCATTTCAACATTATAATGTGCTAATGCCCATGATTTAAATTGTTGTCGCATTTATTAATTGCAACGATTTAGAAGTAATGGAAATCTTTTATGGTGAATTACTGATCAATGATAGATGAAATGATTGCTGTAGGACATCGATTGTTTCTGGTGCGGTCTGAGCTCGAAGAAACCGTTGAATATCTCCAGATTAGAAAAAGTTTCCTTAGGAATTTATATTTCTAGGTTTCCACATGGAACTTTTATAAATTCTTCGAAGTCACATGGAATTCTTAGAAGTTGCTTGCAAACTTTCATAGCCTTGCTGTTAAGATTTGAACATACGCTTCAGAAAGCAAGATTGATTCCTTTAATAGTTACGGATCACTCGTTTCGATTTCTATTGGAACTTCATCCGTTCAAGTTTCTCTGATGGAATTTACATTTCCATTAATCGACTGCTTTGTTCCACGCGCATCGTGATATATTGAATTGTTCACATGCATTGAACATTGCGATATGTTGTCATTCAAACGCATTGTGATGCATTCACATTCATTGTGATATATTGAATGTATTATATCAAACATTCAAATACTTTATTTATGTATAAACCAAAGCACATTTATACAAAAGATATCAACACGAATATCAGAAAACAATCAACACCCTACCAAAAAATTACTCTCACTTCAATATCTATACAGTGAACAATCTATGCCGTTGTTAATTCTGCAGTTCTGTTGTCATGTCCAGCGATTCTTGATGCGGATCATTACACGGCGATGGTTTCATGTTTCCTTCTAACCGATCCGTTTCGCTTCCGAAATATCGTACCTGAAGCGTGCATTGAAGGCTAAATTAATGAACTTGAATGTAAGTATAATTGCTTTGAGTAATAGGATTAACGAGCTTGCAAATGAATGATCAATTAATAACACTGAATATATTCTGACTGCAAATACTGTTCATATCCCAAATAATCCCAAAACATTTTTTAATATCCGCTCGGAATTTAATTCAGACTCGGCAAAATCTGCAGAATTGACTTGGCTTCTAAGATCATATTATCGCATTAATGCGGGAAAATTTGCGGCAAGATGTTCACCTCAATTTCTGGCACTGTTTTAGGACCACCATAGCCACCTGCATTATTGGTCCCGCATGGTTCTATTCGGATCCCACTGGAATCTTGTTGCTCTCGTGAGATCATCTTAATATTGTCATCATTTGCATCTGGATTCTGATCAGCAGATCTCCTTTGTGGATAGGTAGTCAACTGAAAGTTATCGGTATATTTCAATGCTTTTTTAATTCAGTCACAAATACATGATCATTCACTGGTAAATCTGCAGAAAAGTAACGAATGTAAAGTTTTTCATAAAGATGTAGCTAAAAACTTCAGGAAACACCAGTGATTTGTATGGAAATTGAAGAAATCTTATTTCACGCATAATTTCTCCATTGTTTTGATTAAATTTCGAATGCTTCACATATCATAGGCAAGCAACTAGCTGATACAGATGAATAGTGGTAATGTTCGAGTATTCATTAAGAAATTTATATGGAATGAACTCTCACATTTTTGTGTGTTGTTTGCTGATAACAAACTTTGGGACAGCAAAAACAATGCGAGAAGACATTTTTACGAAAGCTTGCATTCATGAAGCAATACGTGATCGGATTTGTACATGTGCTGATGTAGGTGAGTACAGTTATCACTGTATTCAACGAATGATTCCATACTGTGTTCGCCTGAAATTGGGCAATTTTTCCGGAACAAATAACTTCACTAGCAAATGATATGTGACTTGCAAGGTTTATGCTATCATATGAATCCAATAAACACGTCAATGTGATGCGCTGATTACTGTTCATTTCAAACCACAGAACTTCTTGTGCTATCAAATGACCATATTTGAATTCACACGATGAGAAGAGACTATAAGATCTAGCAAGATCTTTGAAGAAAAGCGCTGTTTTGCAAGTTCTGGGATTTTATAGTGAACCTATGAAGTATTGGATCGGGTATGGAAAACTGTGCACGATTATGAATTAAACGTTCGTTTCTTTGAACCAATACGATATGTGGTTGATTTCTGAGGAATATCGCACTGAACAGAGCGAAATGCTTCGTGAATTTATCACTTACATCAACTAAATCGACCGTTTTAATGAGTAACCACCAAACGAAACTCGGCGTCCAACACAGCACATACGCAATCACAAGTATTATCAGCATTCGTGTCACACGTTTCTTGGCCAGCAATATTTTCTGCTGCAATTGAATTCATACAATTTGACTGAATTTCGCTGATTTTCTCAAAATGTCTTTATGATTTATGCTGAGATGTAGCAATCTCTGAAGTTGTCTGTGACCTTGCAATGGAACTTTCTTAAGATCGGTCGCATCAATATGGTGTTATAACTGGGCATTGCTCGTACTAAGATAATAAGAAATGACAAGGTGGTCAATTGATAACTGGAAATTATCAAGTAATATAGGAGAAGTATTTCAAGTCTATACAATCGTACCTGATGTGTACTTCTCAATAGGTAAGCGCTATCAAAGTCGCCAGCTTTTCGAGTATTACACAAAAATGATACAGATGATGTGCTGAAAGCGCTGAAATGACGGATACTTTAGATAACAAAATCAATCGATCGAATACTCAAAATCATCGTGAAAACTGCTGATCAGTGGCATTCGAGGTGATTAAGTGAGCGCTGGACAATTAATGTAGCATTGGTATCAATTGATAAAATGAAAGAATATCCTTAAGGAATAACATGCTAGATATACTGTGGAACAAGGTGCATTTCAACTTATGAGTTCAGTAAAAGTTATGAATTCGTGATAAAATTTATGAGTTCAATAGCATCAATTGTATTAGAAATAAGTTGTTTCCACAGCTAAAAATACCTCATGAGACGGTTCGGTTGAAAGGTGGTGGCGTTTGCGGGCACCGAAAAAGATGAGGCGCGAGAGTTCGAGAGTGACTGACTTGGTACTTTCAGCGATGACAGTCCATTCGCCTAAAACTGATCACTTGATGAAGTCTGATGAGTGTCAGATAGCTTTTCTACATCATCGGTCTTCGATTCGAATGATTTGCACAGACTGAGATTCAGTGTTTCTGAGGATTCCGAATCGTGATGTGTATGTAAGCGAAAACGTACGTTAATATCCGTGAATGACTTGGTGATCCATGCAGGTGACATAATCGCATCGTATATCCAACCGCTTGGTGAATTACGCCCATTTACTTCTAAAAAACTTCCAAAAATGCTTTTCTGAATTCGGTGATCTGCATAGACTACTGCACTCTTTAATTAATGAACACAAATTTGCCGTAACTGAAACGCTACGCTCTTCTCATATTCCAAAGGTTCATCTTGGTTGGTTTCTTATGAATTCTCACTTTTCACTAGAATATAATGATTAAATTTTGAACTATAGAAGGAAATCATTATGAGATCAATGTAAAGTTCATTTGATCAAAAATTCTCACTGATCTTTTCAGCGAATATATCAATTCTTAAGTGATAATCTTTTAAAATGAATTGCTTCAAACCAACACACTTGAAAGCTGTGGTCCATAGATATTGTTGCCACAATCTAAGCTGTGCATGGACACTGCTAGATTCATATCGAAACGAATACCGGTTTTTAGTGTGAATATCACATTACCATACAAAACGGTCATTATAGCCAACGGAATTATTAACAGAATCTGAAATTGAGCACCAATAAATGAAACAGCACGTATGAGTTTTCAAAAACAGATGTCATTACGAAGTTTCGCATTCCATTTCTCATAGACTGAAACTATTAGGCAGCAAACCACGGAAACTTCATTAGGCTCAATAATTTGACAGATAAGTCTCATTTGTGATATTGAGATATACATCCCAATTTCATAAAGCCATATGCACTAAGATAGGATTTGCATTTATCGCCGAAATATTCTCAGTCTTTGATTCGCTTCCATTAATTATGATGTACAGTCTTAAATAAGCTAATTCTCTGACTGAACAGTGACTTATATTATGAAAAGTACATTCATTGCCGCACTCAATAGATCATGCACCATTTCCCTTCTTTAGAGACTTACAAATGGCCAAAACTCATGGTATAGTTGACAATGAAAGTTGAAATTTACCAGAGTCACATAAATTTGATAAATGAAATCGACAAGTGCCGAGATGGTCGGTCTGCAGTTCCATGCGGTCTTATAGGGCATAGCATCGAAGATAATCAACGAACCGCAATTACTCGCAAACGATATGAACCAAACAAATGAGATCATCGAAACAGCATGTCGCTGAAATTTGCCACGATTAAAATCACATTCAGTCATTCATCTAGAAGTGTTTGGAGTCACTTAGTGGATCAAGAAATGTTGAATTTGCTGAGACTTGAATTTTGATCACAGAATAGATACAATGCTTGATCGTGCGATCTACTCGTTGAAATTATTATGAATGAACTCAAAAGATATTTCACTTGTTTGAGAATCGTTCTTGAATAACTTCAATGCATATGCACGATGAGAGCGTG